GGGATAAACGGAGCCAACCCGAGGCTAAAAGACCGCGGGGCGGGGTGGGGGGTGCGGAGGCGGGAGGCACGAGGGCGGAAGTCCCGCCCCCAGCGGATGCGCACGCCTCGAAATGCCGTGTGCTGTTCCCTCATTGGCTCCTCGCTGCGTCCTCAGGGCCGAGGCTCTTCCGGGTGGTGTGGCTCCCAGAGTTGTGGCGGTCTCAGAAAGGGCGCCCTCCACCCTGGAGTTCCAGAGCTTTGGTTGCGTGGTACCCTGAGATCTGCGAGGGGTAAGTGCGGCTCCTCCCCAGAGGGACCTGCTTTGCTCCTTGTTAACGGCGGAGAAGAGCCTTACTTTAAGACTCTATGACGGTCAGTTTCCAAAGGAGAAAACTATTATTTCAGATGTCCCCAGATCCTTTTACTGATTTAAATAACTTATCATTTCGGACAGCACTTCAAAAAGAAATGAGTCTGTGCATAGCTAGAAAGATGTTGTTGCTCATCAAATGCTTGCACCCTGAAACATTAGCGTCAGTTTTGGACTTGATTAGGAAGAATACAAAAAAGTCCCTGTTAACAAAATTCAGCCCAGTACATTGTAAAGGTCTATTGGCTCTACTCATGGATTTGTGGATTGGGCAGCATCGCATCTAACAAGTAGATGGCAGCTCCAAAGCGCTATAGAAAGGGAAAGTTGTTTTTTTAAGATTTTTATTTGACAGAGACACAGCGAGAGAGGGAACACAAGCAGGGGGAGCAGTAGGCAGGGGAACAAGCAGGCTTCCCGCAGAGCAGGGAGCCTGATTCCGGGCTCCATCCCAGGACCCTGGGATCATGACCTGATCCGAAGGCAGACGCTTAAGGACTGAGCCACCCAGGCGCCCCGAAAGGGAAAGGTTTTTAAAGGTAGGACAAAAACATCATTTACAGATAAAGGGATTATGTCAGATGAGGTTACCTTATTGTGAGGACAAAAGAGTCTTATTAGGAGACTCGGTCATCTTTCTTTGGGGAATGGAGTGGGCCTATCCATGTAGATTACCTTTTTGGTACTGAACATAAAATCCCTGACTGAGCTTGGAAACTAAATTTCTGGGGGAAGTTGAAAGTGCAGTGAGCTTTCAGTATTATGCCCTGGTTTGGTGACACAGCCTAGCAGAAGTGACTCCATTTGGGCCTGTGGTTTCCTCTTCCACACCCATTACAGGTCTGTGACACTGAAGGACAGGGATGGTAGGCCACCCCGAATGAAGTGGTCAATGACGCAGTCAAGGCTCTGGTTCCACCCTAAACCTCTCTTGCCTGTATAGTGATTGTGTAACGTCTAACGAGGAACATTTTTTTTTTTTAAGATTTTATTTATTTGTCAGAGAGAGAGTGCACACAACCAGGGTGAGTGGCAGGCAGAGGGAGAAGTAGGCCCCCGCTGAGTAAGGAGCCCAATGAGGGACTCGATCCTGGACCTTGGGATCATGACCTGAGCTGAAGGCGGACGCTTAACCGACTGAGACACCCAGGCGCCCCTATCAAGGAACACTTTCATCCATGTATTTCTATGTACTCAATTCCTTTTAGGAATCTGACATCATCCCAAACATAGAGCAACTTAACCAATGCTATTTTTGGTACCAAACATATGTTGCCATTTTCAGTTGGAGCAAGTGTGCCAGGGGAGAATCTGAACCCTGAAATAAAGGGTTATCTGAGGGGCGCCTGGGTGGCTCAGTCAGTTAAGCCTCTGCCTTCAGCTCAGGTCATGATCCCGGGGTCCTGGGATTGAGTCCCACCTTGGGCTCCCTGCTCAGCGGGGAGTCTGCTTCTCCCTCTGCCTCTGCCTCTCTCTCTGTCTCTCATGAATAAATAAATAAAATCTTTAAAAAAAAGGGGGGGGTTGTCTGAACCCAATGATCTCACCTTCTTGCTGGGAAGTGATTCTTCTTTCTTCAGGCACTGGTGGTAGTGTTGCTTTATGAATTGAAATTAGAAAAACAGTGGTGAAATGCACATTTCACAAAGCTGTTCATAACGTTTACTGAGCTATTTAAAGACAGTGGCAGAAATAGCTATGGGGAAAGCCTCATTCCATCTCCCTACACATCGGTAAAAGCTAAGAAACAATTATGATCTCAGAGTACTTTTAGAAGAAGCCTTAAGAAGTGAGAAAGGATAGAATCAAACGGAGCACTTGACGGTGCTAGACCAATGTGGTTGGTCATTGTGAGGCCTTTATCTCCAAAATGTGACTTTTTCATTCTTGAAAACATTGAGGAATGCTACTATCATCCTTAAAAGTAAATAGCCAGTTATTTTAGTAGCAAACTGAGTTTATTCAGGAATAACAGAAGAATTTCAACTGGGGATAACCACACCAGGGCAGAGCACAAGCAAGTCTGAAGAGAGAAGGAAAGTCAGCTTTTATTAGGGTTTAAGAGGAGAGTGGGGAGGTTTGCTCTCAATAAAAGTTTATTGAAGAAAAATAGTTTCTAGTTGTGACAGTGTTTCATTGGCTGCATGGCCCTGGTTAGTGTGTGGTTGCTGGGGTAAGGAGAGATCATCCTTTTTTTGTTCAAAGCAGGAGATTAAATTCCTACTGGGAAAGCATCCTCCCTTGTCAAGATAAAAATAATATTCTTTTTTCCTGCTGGTTTTCCATTCCTCCCCATGTGAATGCTCCATTTTATTTTTTTAATAGATTTTATTTATTTGCGCATGAGAGAGAGGAATGGAGGAGGGTTAGAGGGAGGGACTCTCAAGTGGACTCCCCGCTGAGGGTGGAGTCTGATGTGGGGCTAGATCTCATGACCCTGAGTTCATGACCTGAGCCAAAATTAAGAGTCAAATGCTTAAAGGACTGAGGCATCCAGGCATCCCATTAGAGCTCCATTTTAAATGTGGTTTCCTTTACTAATTTTCACACCACTTTGGAGAGAGACTTGAGGAAATTTACGATACCCAGAGTAGTTAAAATGAGAAGGAAATTAAAATGTCATGTTTAGGGGCACCTGGGTGGCTCAGTCAGTTAAGTGTCTGCTTTTGGCTCAGGTCATGATCCTGGGGTCCTGGGACCAAGCCCTGTGTCTGTCAGGTTCCCTGCTCAGTGGGCAGTCTGCTTCTCCCTCTCCATCTGCCCCTCCCATTACTTGTGCTCTCTCCCTCTCTCTCTCTCAAATAAATAAAATCTTTTAAAAAAAAAGAAATGTAATGTTTATTCACTCTCCTAACAAATGTGCATTGAGCACATAGTGGTTTCTCAGGAACTTTGGTGGATGCATGGGAGAAACTCAGGCACAAGACAAGCAGCCCTGCCTTCAAATACCTTGTATTATGTTCAAGGAAAACACAGGAAATAGGAAAGCAGAATTACTAACTTATATTCTATGTTAGAATGAGGTAGGTAAAATGGAAACAAGGAGAGGTGATTTTGTGAGAAGAGGGGTCCAGGTGTAATAATCCACTGGGCAGAAAGGGAGCCCCCATTAATAAGAGCACCACTGAGCAAGGATGAGTCCTGTGGGTTTTTATTTTCAGTAGCTCTCTTAAAAGATGAAGTGAGCTACATGAAACTTTCAAGGAGCTTATTTATACAAACACCAAATCCATTCAGACAGCACTAATCCAAATTAGGTAAAGGCTTTTGTAGACCAAAAAGGGAAGCAAAGCAGTAAATTATGTGATTGGCTATTAGTTAAGGAATTGTCTTATTTGGAAAAGTAGCTGACTGTTTTGTGTGTGTTTATGTGTGTGTTTTAAGTAGGCTCCATGCCCAGCATGGAGACCAACGTAGACGGCTTTGTGTGATTCGGTGTTTTTAGGTTGAGGCATTTAGAAGATTTTGCTCCAGGTTAGGTTTCAGTTTGCTTATGTATGTGGCAGGACATTGGAGCAACCTGCACCTAGTGGCCTCTTTGTTGATTTGCAGTTCCAAGCAAAAGAAGCAGGTGGCTAAGTGGCTTTCTGTGGACTCTTCTGCAGTGGAGACCCTGGGACTCCAGCCCTTTAGGCCTTTAGTCTGCTTGGCTCACTGCAGAAGCACTCAGCATGTGTTCATGAGAAGCCTTCGGTCTGTAGCTCATAACAATCTGTACATCTACAGCCTCCTGTACTGGAGCCTGGAGGGAGGCAGCCTGGCCTTCCCTAAATAACTTGTTTTCACAGTTTCATCTCTGCACTGACCCCCTCCATCAGCTTCACGTCAACTCATTAGAAATGCTCATTCTCAGCCCACAACCGAGACCTCTTGACTCAGACACTTTGGTGGTAGCCCAAGAATTAGTTTTTTAAGAAGTGTCTGGGTAAAACAGATGCAGAGTAAAACATTCCATCCACTAGTTGCAGTTCCTGAAGAGAGGGCACTTATTCTTGTCATTTAATCTCCTCTATTGCTGCAGGACTTCAGAACAGATGCTACAAAATTTATTAGCACACATTTATTCTCTTCATTAAAAAAAGTAATGTCTAGAATGTCTGATTTTCTGTTATTAATGGATTACTACTCCTTTATGAACGTTGAAAGTGAAAAGCTTCTAACCACTCTACCTGGTACAGAAAAACAATGTTTGCAGTATGGTATCCTTTTAGAATTGCTTTTTCACATAAATGGATCGCTCGGTGTCTCTGTGTTCAAATATCTCCCTACGTTTCCAAAACCTAGTTTTGGCGGCCTAGCACTTCAAAAGTCAATACTAAAGAGACAAGTGGTGATTGGAAAGGAACATAATCTTTATTTATGAGGCTGGCCACCTAGGGAGAAGGTGGGCTCTATTACAAATGCCAACTCCAAGGTTTCTGCCTTGCCCACGGTTTTTTAAGGTTAGGACAGTGAACCAATAAGGGGAGTACATTGGTCTGTAACATTTCTTGACTACATGCACACTTGATGGTGCTAGCTATAGATGTTATCACAGTGCTGGGAGGTTGTGCAAGGGGTCTGGTTCCTTAGTACCCAGGGGTTGTGCAAGAGGATCTGTTTTGCTTTGTGGCATTCAGAAGTGCTCAGCTCTTTCTAGGAGAGAATGCATGATCTATAGATAAACAGAAAGGTGAATCAATCATGTAGGCTAAGGGTGCTTGTTAAACCTTCAAGATTACTAGGTTGGCTGGAGGGCCTGAGGTGGCTTCACCCATACAGTTTTTCTTACTATTGAAAGATG